TGTGTGTGTGTGTGTGTGTGTGTGTGTGTGTGTGTGTGTGTGTGTGTATACAGACACCACATCTTCTTATCCATTCATCAGTCAGTGGACATTTGGGCTCTTTCCATAGTTTGGCTATTGTTGATAATGTTGCTGTAAACATTGGGGTGCATATACCCCTTTGAATCTGTATTTTTATATCCTTTGGGTAAATACCTAGTAGTACAATTGCTGGATCCCACAGTACTTCTATTTTTAACTTTTTGAGGAACCTCCATACTGTTTTCCAGAGTGGCTACACCAGTTTGTATTCCTGAAATTCAATAATTAAGCTGAGAGGTAAAGAGCACAGGACTTAAGCTGTTAGGAAAGTTTGGCCAAGAATATAACCTCTCTGAATGTGTTTCCTTATCTTTAAAATGGGCTTTAAATTGGTAATACTTCCCTCATTGTTATGAGTATTACATGAGTTAATGTTAATAAACTCAGGGCCTGACAATAGTGTTCAATAAGTAGAATCTGTGACTTTGTTAACAAAGTAGCTTGGGCATTTAATTTGGGCTAGAGACCTACTTCTGTGAATATTAATGGTTATTACATTAAAAAGGGGTTCCATGGTATACCAATTTGGGGATTGATTAAAGTTTCACTGAAGATTTCTAAGGGAAGAAGTGGCATGATTAAAGTGGTGCTTTCAGATGAGATACACAGTGGTCAGGTATTGGGGAAATAGGTGGAGGGAACACCAACTTTGTGGCTAATGCAAACAGACTCAAGCACTTGTTGAAGATGAAAGAAAATGTAGTTTCTCTGAAGTATTAAAAGAAGTAAGTAAAGGACAGTGGGAGTGGAAAGAAGAAGCAGAGATAACAAAGGAGATGGAGATCCACTGAACAGACATGTGCAATAAAAATTAGGGTATGACAGTGTCATGAAAATGAAGAAAAGAGAGTTTCCTGGAAATAGGACCCTAGAAGACTGCAAAAAGAATATGACAACGGGGTCCCAGAAGCAGTTTTTTGTTGGAAGTGGGTCGCACGATGCTGCCAGAGTGACATGGCTGCAAACATCTCTTCTGTTTGTGGGTCTCATCTAGCCTGAAGGATTGTGGACAAAACCAGTATTAGTCTTATGTAGCAAAGCTCTGACTGGGTCAGCCACTTCGGTGGCTCCTCTTGTTCCTTTACTAGATCACCTAGACCAAATCTAGGTATGTTGTTACTATTGAAAACTAAGCTGATGTTCCCCAACCCAATCTATTATAAGAATATGCCCATGGACCAGAACAGAAGCAGAAATCCAGACATGAAAGGTGTAGTTGGAGTGTGAGCTACTTTTTACCTGATAAAATTCTTCTCCATTATTGTCACAGTCAGTACCACACTAAGTATCAGTCCCCACACTTGGTTCAAGGTATCACATAGTATGTATATGTAAATGCTAATTTAAGACACTGTGTGGTATACATTAGTTAATACATTATTAAATTCAGAGTGTACAAAGTACAATAACTCTAGAATCCTTGCCTGGGGATCTAAAGAAGTATTCTAATTTCAACTACCAATGCAAACATTTTCATTTTTATTTTTGGGGAATTAACGTACCTTATACCAATGAAACTGTTTTCCTTGAACTGCAAAGATGACATTAATGTTGTTGTCTATTAACTTTTCAGAAAGTTGGCCTAGTGAGGGATGTTCCTGCAAAGGATAATAAAAAAAAGAAGGGAGTGAAATATAGTAGCTCAATCCCACACATACCTAAACTTCCATTATGAGGAAAACCATATGACTGACATAAAAATGTAGTGTGTTTGGAAGGATTATGGTTTTATTGAAGGCATTTAAACTCCTTAAAAAAATAAGATCAACATCAATGTATTAGGATATTTTCTAGACAAAGCCCCATAAAAACCTTTAACTCAGAAAAATGAAGAGGGCTGATTCAATGTTGTGCAAAGTGTGTTCAGCACCTAACTTTGGCCTCACAGTTATATAACTGAAAGATAATGTACTATTCAGAAATAGAGACACATTAGTGACAATCATATTCTGAAATTTAGTACAAGTGCTGAAATGCAAATATATGCATGTATAAACATAAATACATAGATATTCAATATATAACACGAGATAGTATAAACTTTATTTAGAAGCAGAAAACCCTGTATTCAAATCCCAGGTTGTCACTTTATGATAAAAATTCTATCTTAGGTCCATCCTCTGTAACACGTCAATGGTTTCTGCCTTCCATGATTGCAAGCAAGATTAAAAAGATACCAATCGTATGTGATCTATTTAGTGCAGCTTCTTACATACTGTAGGTGCTCAAAACTAATAGCAATTATCATGATTTTTATTTCCAATAGTTTATACAAGATGTATACAGATCTCTCAACTTGTCAGTATACTTAACCTTTTGGTCATGTGATATATTATAAATCTCTTTTACTTTGATAAATAAAACTTAGGCACAGCCAACTGTGACATTCTTTCTGTTAGTGAGAAAGCTGGGGAAGAGTAGGAGAACGGGTATACAATTTAGTAAATATGAGAAATCAGCCAACTATGGAATGGTATCTAAAGTTATATAGTTAGACATGGTACTTAATATTTTTTCCTTCTAAAATTCTCTTCCAGAAATTAAAGTGATCTCAAATAACAACTTCATAACTAGACACTTCTCGGAGGGATGATGTCAAACTTCACCTACAGTGGTCCTCACCTGTTCACTGTTGCTTAGTTGCATTAGCTAAGTTGCAAATTAGGATCATGTGACTAAGCCTAATTAGTATCGTGTGATTCAAGTTCAAATAACTATAGTTTTTACTCCTCCTTTCACCCTCCAATGCTAATTGTGTTTTCTTTACGGGGAAATTTTGCTAAACCATCTTGGTTAACATTTCTGTATTTGGGCAAACTATGTGAACTTAGTAAAAGAGCTAATTTAACTAGAGTTTCCCTTATAGCCTAAGTTCTGAGACCCACATATTAAACTTACATACATAGATATAAGATATAGCCTTGGGTTTAAAAATACTATCACTCACATGAGTAACTGCTAGGATCTGATTATCTGTGCCCTCCTCTCCAAATTCACATGTTGAAATCCTAACCTCCAAGGTGATGGTGTTAGGAAGTGGGCCTTTGGGAGATGATTAGATCATGAAGGTGGAGTCCTCATGAATGGGATTAGTGCCCTTACAAAAGAGGGCCAGTGGAGAAAGACACCTTGCCCCTTCCACTGCGTGAGGTGGTGGAAACATTACAGCTAGAAGGTATCTTGTATGAACTAGAAAGGAGGCTCTCACAGATCCCGAATCTGCCAGTGCCTTGATCTTAGACTTAGCAAACTCTAGAACTGTAAGGAATAAATTTTTATTGTTTATAAGTCACACAGTTTATGGAGTTTTGTTACAGCAGCCTGAATGGACTAAGATAGTAACCATAACAAATATGTTTTATTTCTATATAATCTATATATTGTTCTGGTAGAAACAAATCAAATTTTCATGAACTTCATTTAATGTGATATGAAACTAATTTATGAAGAGGCTAAAGAAGTATTACCACATGGATTTGCATAAGAAAAATTCTGCCCAGAGCAATTCTTAAGAATATAATTTTAGAGTAATAGAAAATCAATTCCCAAAATATAAATTCTGCCAGATAAATTCTTATGCCTTGCTCCTGATACTATGTATACTCTTAAAATAGATTTATGACAGTTTCCATAATGCTAGTAAATTAAAGAGAACAAGTCAAGGAAGGGTAAATCTAGTTGTACTGGGAATATTTTTTTAATGGCAACAACTACTTTTGAAATATTTTTGTTTTGACAAAAAAATCAGTTTGCCAAGCATTCCCCCTTAATTTTAAAAACCATTCATATTTTAAGGAAAATTTAATCCATATGTTTTTTAACTAGTTTATACTTAACTCACATAAAATCAGTATTTAAAGAACAGTCCAAAATGTAAGCAGCTTTTGGAGCCTTCTTAATCTCTTTCCCCTTTTCAAAAACAGGAAGTCACATTGATGAAAAGTACACAAAATTTAAATCTAAAAAGTTCTAGTTTGGTCAGAAGCTCATTAAGAAGGTCAACTGGATTTTTAAATTTAAAAGAACACTTTTTTTTTTAAACCCGAGAAAGAAATCTGTTTTAAGAGAAAATTCCAGCTACTTCGAGGCAGATTTGTTAAAATTACAAATGTTTAACAGATGTTTTAATAAACCACTGTTGACAGGAGAACTGTGGATTAATGGCCATTTATGAAGCCCCTTCCCCTTTCCTCCATGAAGCATATTATCTTTTAAATATTTTATCTTTTATGTCTTGTATTTCACTAGCAGAACGCTCCCTCTCCGCCAGCTGTCCTATTCTGGTGACGTCACTCCTTTTCATCTCTAACTCCCCCTCTGTCTAACCCATTACATATTGTTTCTCTAAACTCTGAAAATAATTAACAGAGATAACAGGCATTTCAGGGGCAAAAGGGAGAAGGGAAAGCAATGTACCAAGACAGCTGCTAAGTATTTAAGGGCAAGAGAATTCCTTTCACATTTTTCTTATTCACCAACACCTTCCCGGTGACTTGTGGGAAATAACTTCTAAATGTCAGAAGGGAAGAGGAGGTAAGAAAGATTCACTGGGAGCGATTCCAGTTAAAGACATAATCGTGTAAAGGTATATGGGAGAATTTTAATAATGTGCATAAATAGGGACCAAAACAAGAAGTGTTTAAGATTCTCTTCATAAAACTGAAGCTCATAGTAAAAATTTTTATAAGCTAATAGAGAATTTGTAGTATTAAATATAAGATGAAAAAAAAACCCAATGTCTTGTTAAATAAAACACTCAATTATCTGGATAATTTTTTTACAGTTCATTTTTTAGAAGAAAAACAACATAAAAACAATCTGCTAGCAGAGATTTATTTAAAGATGAAGACTTGAAACTCTGTGTTGTCAGTCCCCATCTCATTGCAATAGCGTATTTTCTATTTGCATAGTTGCACAGTATTAATCACATAGCCCAGGGTTTCTCGTCAGTGGCATTAGTGACATTTTGGGCCGAGTGTTCTATATTGTGGGTGCACTGTGCTTGGCTGGTGCACTGCAGGATATTTAGCAACATCCCTGGCCTCTACCTACTAGATGCCAGTATCTCCTGCCTTCTGCAGTTGTTGTAACAACCAAAATGTCTCTAGAGATGGACATGTCCTCTGGGGAGACAAAAATCACTCCACTTGAGAACCATACCAAGAGCAGAGGCCCTAGAAACAGACCACCTGGGCTCTAATGCCTGGTTCTGCAATGATTAGCTCTGTAACACTGGATAATTGTTGTAATCTTTCTGTGATCCAGGATCTATAAAACAGGTATAAATACTAGTACATACCTCTCATAGTTATGGTGGAGATTAAATGAGTTAATATGTATAAAGTCTTTCACTTATCATTCTGTAGTTATTAAATCCAGATTAATGGTGAGTGGGGGCTCATTCCTGATGTCACACTGCTTGCCATTTACCATAGGCACCACTACGTAGGGCTCTGTGACCACAGACTAATTCCTGATCCCTTTATACCCCCATTTTCTCATTCATAAAATGGAGGTAGTAGCAATATCTATACCTCACTGTGATGTTGGGTGATGTTATATAATGTAATGGGCAAATACCACAGGACTTAATAAAAGACAGCTTTCAGGAAAATACTGCTTAGTGAAAGACATTTGGAGGCCATTACTAAAGGCTAGGTGTTGGGCTCTACTTGGATATGCTTTGTTTGACTTGCTTCATTTGTTACACCTTTGTACCTGGCCCCTCAAGTGTTTGAATTTGTAGCTCCTGCCAAACACTGTATGATTGTAATCATGACATCCCAGTTGCTGAAGGAAGGGGATCGACTAATAATTTTTATAAGTTTTTCAATGAAAGTGGTTATAAAAAGTTTTCTGCTTAAATACGATTGAACTGAAACATGTCATTTAATGGGAACATTCTATATAAATATTTTCATCACGTTTGGTTTTTACTGTGTCACTTTTGCAAACCATCACTTTTTTTTCAGAGTTCATTTTCAGAGTCATTATAAAAGCAGTGCCAGCCCAGGTGTTTCCATGTGCAACCTCTGCTTTCAGCTTAAAGGAAAAAAATAAACTAAATATTGTTGGCAGAGATCATTCCCTGGCTATTTTTCTTTGAGCATGAGAAACCTTCGAATTAAGTCTATTCTAAAGTTATTGAAGTCATTACTGTTGTTATGGCATTTACAATTTAAAACAGTTAAGAGAGCAATAAGCTGAAATCAGGCATTTTGTTAGTTTTTAAAGTTGTAACAATATTTTTAAAAAACTCAACTGCACCTGGACTTAAAACACAACTTAAAACTTTCTAGGTGCATTCTACCTAGTTGACATTTCCTTTACTTTTCTGATTGTGCACGTTATTACCCAAAGGTGCTTAGTGAAAGACATTTCTCTAAACCGGCCTTATCTCTTTAATTAATTTTAGAAGTTATGTTTTATGTAGTGTTAAGCGGAGAAAAAAAGTAAATAAGGTGAAAAGTATTATTATATGCTTTAGGTGAGCCATATTAGAATTACTGTTATTCTCATAATTACAAATCAGTGATTTCCATGAAACTAAATAAATACTAATTCCCTTAAAAGGATGGTTTTGGTTTAGATGGCCTCT